CGACCATGGTTTCGTGGAAAATATTCTGATCTGTCGTTCGGTTCGAGAGGCCACTATGCAATGTTTTTTGATAGAATAGAAGTATGCTCTTCAATATGCAAGTTGACGCGCCATGCAGTCGGTTTGGTTTTTGGTTAAAGTTATGAGTTAACATTGGGCTTTTTTGAATTTTGAGTGGAGTGATCTTTTTTTTTGGGCCCCTGTTGTATATAATTATAATATTATATATAGTATAATAATAGTATATTATATATAATATATATATATATATATATTATATTAATATATATATATAGATCTATTATATATATATATAATATATATATATAATATTATAAATATATATATATATATATATATATATATATATATATATATATATATATTATATATACTATATATATATATATATATTATATATATATTAATATAGTATATATATATATATATATAATATATATTATATATATATATAAGTAATCTCGGATCATATATATGATACTATATATACTCAATGATAGTATATATATATGTATGTTATCGCTATATATATGCACGATTCATCCATGAACTGCATATATATGAACTATACACCAGCTTCTATTATCTATTAATTTTTGAAAAGAAACTATCTTTGCTTCGGAGACTTGACTCGTTGCTGGCGAGTGCGTCATATGAATCTTCCTACAAAATTACTTATGGGAGACGCTTTGTTTTTTGCCGCACAACTTATTTTGACGTCTTTTTAGCTTGGCACGGAGTTGTAACCCTTCGAGATGAAGGTGGATCTGACCATATGTATACAAAAGCGGTCAAAAGTCTTCCGCCGAATGCTTTTCGTCCGTAGCTTTTTGCCCTATCAATTCCGTCAAGATTTTGATATGTTTTGGAGAAAACCCTTTTTAATCGAATTATTCTGTTTGTGTTGAAGGGAGAGAGAGATTACAATAGAATGAAAAAAATATTCGCTAGAAATTTCTGAGTACGTCCAAATTTCAGCTAAACTGCAAATATTAAAAAAAACGACAATCCAACAGAACAATCGACAGCATGATTAATAACGTTGAGCAGAATCAATGAATTATTTATAAACTTCTGGAATCGCTGAAATTTTAAGAGCGCCTAAGTGAAACATTCGTTAAAACTCATCATACTAGGGCAGTTCCCTCTATTTTCCTTCAAATTTGATGAGTTTCTCGTCCAATTTTCTGGCACTTTTTCCTACTGCAGAGGATTTCGACACCCTTTTCTATAGTGTATCGATGATGCTCAGGATATGTAACTGAAGCTGTTCATCCGTTTAAGGCAAGCCATTCTGTCGTGAGCATTTTTGCACAGTTGAGGGCGATGCTTTGGATTGGTGCATTGCTAGAAGGCGAAGCCAGTTCGGAGTAGTTGCATACTCTGGATACACAGCAAGTGATAGGGAATGGAATAGATCTGCGCACACCTAAACTGGATTTTGATCGTATTCGCGAAACCCAGCGAAAATTTTTTCATTTTTCTCTCTTTCTTCAATTCCAGAAATACATACCGATAATAGCGCTCAAAAGTCTTTGGTGTAATACTTTATCGGCTGTAACTTTTTTTCTACCGAATCAAATCAGATCAAATTTTGATATTTTTTGAAAGGAGGCCTTCTTAATTGAACTAACGTATTATTGTTCAACGGGATAGAAAGTGAAGAATGAAAAATTCGTCCCACGAAAAATTCTCCTGTATGCGCATGACCAAATTCCAAGTAAGTGGTGTTGAGCCCTGTGGGTTTCTCATGCCCAGGGATGCGGGAACCCATTCCATTACCGACCACTTCACAGCCGGATGACTTCACAGGATTCGCAATCTGGTGAAGGTGAACGTAGACATTTAGGTTACTACATCATCTTCTAGCAACAGAGCTACCGAAAGCATCGCACCTCCGCTGCGAAGAGTGGTTTCAATAGCATGGCGCGCTTTTAACGGAGGGTCCAACGCAGACACATGTCTTGAGCGCAATCGAAACATTATGAGAAAGGGTGGGGAAACTTTTGGCATGAATTAGAGCCAGGAATATGGAAAGGGAACTCGCGAAATTTGAAAGAAAGTTGAGGTAGTTGTCCCAGAAGACCCTGCATTCATTGGCTGACGCATACACTACATACTACACGTGGACCTGCTATTAAAGTTTGAGCAACTCCAGTAGGTTATCAACAAAGCATTGAATCTGCTCTATGTTTCTTAATACGCGATAAAATGTTTTGTTGAATTATAAGCTTCCCACAGTAATTTGGAATTTACTTGGAACTTGGTCATACTCGAGAATCTCTAGTGCAACGATTCTTTTCATTCTTCACTCCATCTCCCATTCAAAACTTATGCGCCAGTTCGATGGAGAAGGCTTGGGTACAAAAAAAAATATAAATTTGAGCTGATTATATTCAACAGAAAAAAAGTTACAGTCCAAAAAGTACTGCACCGAAGACTCTTCAGCATTACTGTACGCTGATACCGTGAAAAAGGCTTGTCTGGAAAACATTATAATTTTAAGGAACTTGATATGACATGAAAAAAGTTGCGGCCGAAAAAGCATTTCCTAAGACTACTGGGTACTATGTAGTGATCTCTTCAGGACCTTGTGGGACGAATGCTTCTTTTGACAAAGTGTCACCATGTTTCCGAAGAGCACATGGATCAGCATCGAGAACGGGCTCGCACCTTGAGCACGGTGAGTCGAGTGATCCCACTTCTGCTCAGGTGTTCATTATAAACTCATGCTGAGTATCGATATCGGAATAAATTAGTGAAGTAGTAGGTTTAATACCTGCCACTGGAATTAGAAAAGAGTCGGTAGAGGAGAGCTTTTCTTCAAATCGACTAATCATCTAGTGGGGACATTTAGAGGAGTTCAGACCTGAGTTTTCATCACAATTCGCAGCTTCCAAGGTCCCATTATGGACAGCGACACTAGGGAATACCGCATTTACTATAGGGGGACAAAAGAAAGAAAAAAAATCAATTTGGAAAAGGTCAGAATTTTTCCAAAATTGGTTGGAATGTAACCCTAGGAGTCGTAATGCATTTTGACCGGTCTCGTCAGAGAATTTACGAGATCGATAGCCTTTTCCTGGAATGCTTATCATCGAACCACAACTCTGGGCAGACACTCTAGTCTTTTTCACAGATTATTTTGAAACGGCAATCTGTATGCTCAAAATCAGTCGTAACTTGATGCCAATTTTTTCAATTTTGTGCCATCCTTCGAACAACTCAATTCTCCTCGGACTACAGTTAGATGGGCTACAGCTAATTTTATACCTTATCTATTATGCATTCTGCAAGGGACGTTACTATAAGAACCTGTGCTTCGCTCAATGTGTGCCGGCCAATTGTTGATTCCAGGAGGGCTGCTGTTTGTGCGAACCCTCGTTCGCTGTAATGTGCATCATCTTGGTTGCCCACGTTATTATGCCAAGCGCTGCCTCCTGGGACTACCGATGGTGCTCCTTATTTTAGTGTTTTGTAGTAATACAAGTAACTCCTACATCACATTAATGTTTCTGATACGTTTGCTATAGTTTCTCCCTTAATGGTCTAATGTTCTGCTGTTTTACCTATTCTTTTTCGCAAATTTCCACATAATTTTACTCATTTTTAGTTGCTTAGTCGCAAAAGGGCACATTTGGTTCAAAGCTGCTCCAAAGCTTTCTATCCAGCCTACGAACAACTCAAGACTGAACTCACGAAAATCATTCTGAAAAGTCATTCCGATCTCAGGGCTTTCTCTTTCCAGAGTACCAATAGAATGTATTATTGTCTGCAAAACTTGTTTTCAGATAATTTTCAGAGAACTTTTTTTTTAAACTGTTTCTACGATTCCATAAGATTCAAACACGTTGAGGGTTGAGAAACCTCGCGAGCTTGCACTTTATTGATTTTCAGGCCACATGTCTTGAGTTTTTTCTTTTTTTACGAGCTTGAGTGACTTATAATAAACCATGCCTAAAAAAAACTGGAAAGGTCTTAGCTTTGCCCAGACCTTTTTTTCAAGAAGTGACATGCATTCTCTCTCTCAATCAAGAGCACAGAGTTCTTTGGATGAGGATTTGACTAGGCGAAAGTATGTAGAGCGATCGTTCACCGTCTGAGAAGAAAAGGCCAGGTTGGCATCAAAAATGAAAAAAGGATCAAGCGTACATCGCTCGATTCAGTTTTGAGATGCGCCACCCATTCTAATTCCGTTCAGAATTGTATTGGATGAAAACGATCTGCCTATACACTGCGTCCCATCATTACACGTCTACCTAAGAATTTCCTGAAATCTCACAAATATAGATGTTTTGAAAAAAGTCTTCAATGTAACAATGTGTCATATATAAATGCGGAATTGCTTACGAGCATCAATCTTCTATTTGAGATCACAGTAATTTTTTTTTCAAATAATTTTGGTGTGAAAGGCCACTCAGCCGACGTCCCACAATTATACGTCCACCTCACGTTTATCGACTTTTCACTTCTGTTGAACGAAACCTTTCCATTGTGGTAACAGTTCACTTCTTGAGGGGCAGCATAATAAAAACTGCTGTTGGATTTTGAAAAAGGTTAGGTTGTCGTAAAAACTGTTGAACAACGCAATCGCACCAGATTTGGGCCAAATTCACGAAAAAGCTCGAGAATTTCTCCAGGGGTTTTACAACTTATGGAGTAGAAGAGCTCTAAAAGTCTTTTCGATAGAAACAATGGCCGTGTCACAAAAGAAACATCCACTTTCACTCAACGGTGCTCTGTCATCGCATCTTCTCCAGAACTTTATGCCTCATTCGTTTTGTGCGTGTGAAAGAATCCCAAAATCATACTTGATTGGGAAGTGTGAAAGGCACTCATTTACGGCAAAGAATCATGGCGAAAACTGGGCTGATTTTTGCATGAAGGTGCAGCCGAGCAGACTAAAGCAAGGTTCGCTTCTGCCCGATATGTTCTAGCACTTGTTTGTTTCTCTTCTCACGTTTGCCTTTAACTTAATGGTTTTTTCCTTAGTGAAGCACTGTTAAAAGAAAGAAAATGGTGAAAAGAAAGATAGACAAGCACTCATGCATAGCAGGGTAAAAAGGACCCTACTTCAGTCGGCTCGGCTGCACCTTCATGCAAAAATCAGCCCAGTTTTTGCCATGATTCCTTGCCACAAATGATTGCCTTTCACATTTCCTAGTCAAGTATGTTCTTGGGATTCCTTCACACCATAAAAGAAGTTTGTTGAAGCATTAAGTTTTGAAGAAATTCGATGGCAGAGCACCGTTGGATAAAAGGGGATGTTTCTTTTGTGACACGGCCATTGTTCCTATCAAAAAGTAATGGGAGACCCTTAGAGCTCTTCTAATCTCCATATCATGTAAAATTCCAAAAGAAAGTCTTGAGCCTGGTGTGAAGTTTGTTCAAATCTGGTGTGATTGCGTTGTTCAACAGTTTTTGCGACAACCTAACCTTTTTCAAAATCCAACAGCAGTTTTTATCATGCTATCCCCTTAAGAAATGAAGTGTTACCACAATGGGGAATTTTCGTTTAACAGAAGTGAAAAGTTGTCGACAAAATTGAGGTGGACGTATAATTTTGGGACGTCGGCTGAGTGGTCTCTCACACAAAATTATTGAAAAAAATTCCTGTGATCTCAGTTAGAAAATTGATGTTCATAGGCAATTCCGTATTTATATATAATACATTGTCACATGAGAGACATTTTTTGGAAAATCTATATTTGTGAGATTTTGGGAAATTCTTTGGTGGACGTATAATTATGGAACGCTGTGTATAATGACTCCTGTGGGCCATCTGATGTACAATTCAGGGTTTCTTAACCTACCAAAGAAGTCTGATAGCAATTATCCACCCAGAGGGATGGGAGGCTTGATTAGGCCTGAACGACGCAATACCCGGTATTTGATCAATGGATCGTGTGGTTCACCTATAGTATGATAGGTGATGAGCGCACTTTGGAATAGAAGTCGTTCTTCGGAAAAAGTTCATCACGTCGCTATACCGCCACATTCCTAGATATAGGATCGAGGAAGTTAAACCACTATCTCTTAATTCTGTTTTCACGGTGGCCAATTTCCAGGATAGCGTAGCGCAGTCGCCGTGGACGCGCGTCTCGCCGCTTCATGGCGACGACGCAGACCATCGTCCAATTCGCTGAGGACGAAGACGCCAAGACCAACTAATAAGGTTGATATTCGATAATTTTCAACTATTGAAACTGAGTCTGATTTTTTTTCGAAATGCCTGCATTAGTTATCAGACTAGATAACTTCAGTGATTACTACCACTGTTTATGTAGAAGTTGCGAAGCACCTTTTCAATACTGCTCGAACAGGCTGCTTATGGTTGCAGGGCAAGACATAAGTGGATTTTGTCGCCTCTTTCAAAATTAACACGTTGACGACATGTGCAGGCCATGCGCATCACACCCTGAGCACCGTGTGGGACCGTGTGCCAGCGCATGCGCTGCCACACACAAATTATTAATTTATTCGGGATGCGCTACTTCTTTTTCTACTTTTTTGCATCTATTCGATGGACCACACCAGAAGGTGACTAGACGCGGCGAGGATCATTGAATGGTTGAATATTCTCCTTTTACGAAGTTTTCCTGTCGACGAATTTTCCTGTTGTGTTCATTCAGTTTTCTTTATAATCTGACAAATCTTGGTCATAAAAATAGTAGTAGAAGTAGTGACAGCGCCTAGCAAATAATGACAAGTACATGTATTTAGTGGAGCAAATAATGTCAAAAATAATTTTGAGGTTTTCTACATCAAAAGGAACTGGAAACTAGCCTTTTCAGTTGCACAGAAACGTCAATTCGATCAAACTCGGCTGTTCATTCTGATGAAACTGACAGATCGATATCACTCGAAACAATTTTGTTGCATCGAGTTTTGCGTAGTTAAAAGCTCCAAAATTCACATGTTTATGTTGAGTGGCGGCGCCTGACAAATCGCCGTGGTCCCACGCGGTGCAAAAACCCAAAACGCGCGTTGTCGTCAACGTGTTAAAGCCAGGGATCGAGGCTAGGTGCCAAAAGCCAGTCCCATCCTTGAATGATGAAGAAGCACAGAGGCGCGATACAGTTACTATTTGAAACTGCGAAGCAATGCCGCTAAGGCTTTGCTTTGTGTGCTGCCTGCTGCTATCCTTATCAACCGCGGCACACGTGGCGTCTGCGCTCTCTCGAATGCGACGTGCTCTCTCGCACTTTCCCTCTCTTTGCAGCGCTATAAATCCCTCACATACCACGGTCGGCTTCACATGAGAAATTTTGGTATCTTTTATGACGCTTTTTCTCGCTACTAACGCCCCTCACTGCATTTCTTGTTTGATTTTCCAACAAAATGACACATCAATTCGATACGGACCCGTGCCTCCAAGTAATTCCATCATAGCAACTAGATGAGAACAAATTTTGTTGAATTTACATTTTTTATTCTATCAAACTCGAGCGAGCTGCACCAACCTCTTTTTGAATTGCATCGAAGCAGTAGGCTGCCTTGTGTGTTGATGAGGTAGTGCGCTCGATAATAAAGATGCGAGTGCGGAGGTGACTGAAAAGGAAAAAATAAAGATAAAACGCCGATCTCGTTTTTAACAAGGAACCCTTCTCTTCCAGCAGTATTCCGCCCTGAGAGGAGGAAGGGGTATGTTTTGAAGAGTTTGAACTTGCCGGCTAAATCGATGCGGCTATCGCACGTACTCTAGACAGCTAATTTCCGCCAGACTTTGGAATTATTGGAACAAGCATGGATGAGTGTTTACGTTCGCCGTGGCATGTTGCGTTTAAGGGAAAGGGCAGGATGTGAAGGAGCGAGCAGCTTCGTCTATTTGCTGTCTTTGTAAGGCTCTAAAGCCTCTAAAGCCCTTGCTGCGCACTTCTGAGCGAAACTGGCACCTCTGTGATCCTCGCGGACAGACTTACTACAGATTTGACAGGACTCTATCCTTGGTTGTTGCTTCAGATATCCAGCGTTGATCAGTTTCACTCCGAAATGCGCCACAAATCCTATGTCTATTGAGAATAGCACTGGCATTTGACTGTGATATGGTTTACTCAAAGACCTGCGGAGACCAGGTCATCTGAAAATGAATGTCCTCATCTTTCCACGCCACGCGGGTCAGAGCTATTAGCCACTCCGCAAATGAAAGACTTCATTAGTTAGGACGAATCAGGGTCGACACTACCGCTGGTACTTTTTGAACATTTGTAGGACCCACCCCTTCATGGAGATAGACTTGATACGACCCCCTTCTCCCCATCCCCACCCAGACCACCATCGTAACTACTTCTATAGTATTTGATTCTGAGACCAGTCGACACAGCCCGGCCAAACACTCCCAACAGCCGTCGAATGGGGAGGGGGGGGGGGGGGTGGTGTACACGTGCAGTGTGTAAAACGGCAAATTTCTCACGCAATACACCATTTTCATCTTACTTTCAGATGTGATTTCATGAGGCTGGAGAAATTACACCCCCTCCCCCCAATGTGAACCAAATACGACCTCCTCGTTGGTACCTGTAGCGACGTAGGGTTGACCCTGGGACTAATCCGATCAAAAACCTAACCCCCAGTTGTGCACGTAGTGAGTGGCACTACTCGCCGATGCGCCAGCTTGGCCTGGCCTAGTTCCCGATATAAAAAATGGTTTTCTAGAAAAAAAAACTAGTGAAAACAAGCGCCTTTCGCTTTGCAGAAAGCGGATCTGCGTGCTTCAAAAATTGCAGCACTTGCATACTCCAAGCCATTCAGACCGGTCAATTTTCTGCCTCATCTGCGTACTCTTGAATAAACAGTGATCACCCGCTGCCTCAATATATGTTCGCTCCCCTTATAATAACAATCTGGGATTGCCTTCGTGGCAAGGCTACATAGTCAAGAGAGCAGACAATAGTAGAGCGCGTTGAAGGGCCGGACTAAATGGAACTCTCAATGGGGGATTCGTTATGTTTACTTCTGGATCATACACACACTACCAGCATAACATTAGAGTCGCTGTGGTTGTTTAGATCGTTTATGTGTGTGGCGCCTTCGACCTTTTCCACATTGGACATCTTTCTTTTTTGGAGGAAGCGGCCAAACTCGGCGATTATCTCATTGTTGGAATACTAACTGACCAGGTAATTAATTTCACAATTTAATTAGGTAATTAATTTCACAATTTTTGTATGCTGCTCTACAAGCGTTCACCATTGAAGGGGAGTTCCACGATAAGCCCGAAGGCCGATTAGGGGGGGGGGACCTATCTAGTGGAAAGATCGAAAGATTTGCCCAGGCGTTACAGCATGGCCCTCTCGATCGCGCCGTGATGCCCCCACCCTCTCGCTGTCTAAGCCCCTAGCTGTTTAGCAGAGCATTAGCGTTAAAGAGGGAAGCACCGGAGGTCTCATCAATGCAAAAACTCGCGAAAAATATGTTTCATTTCTCGGGTTATGGGCCGTTTCACATAGATTTTTCTTTATCGTTACACCACTAACCACCTTCACCTGGATTCTAAAAGGCTACCTTCTAGTCGTAAACTCCGCCTTTAATAAACACATTTCTGTTTACATAATACAGATCATGCCTCTAAAATGCATTGCTTACTTAGCTGAGGTGGTCAATGCCCGTTTTCCAAGCCCGAAGGTCGCATACTATGCGCTCCGCTTCAAAATTTTAACGCAATCCTCTTGAGCTTATTCCTTTTTTTTCGAAGAATTATCCCCACCTTCATCATACTTGTATTTTTGAATACATCTCACTTTACAAACAACCACATTTGATGGGGTTTTGGTGCTACTGTAGTTGTGGGCGGGCAATCAGTTGCGCGCCTGTCTGTTCGTCTGCGCCCTCTCACCTAAGCACGGGTAAGAACGATGCAAAATGAAAAATCAGTGGGTGGGAGAGGAATCCGGCCAATTCAGTGGCTGCGACTGGGAAATGTCACACAAATCACGTGAATACTACGAGTGTGTGCGTCCACTATCTCGATGAGAGGGCACCGACAGACGGGCGAGAACTCTAGCGACTGCTTACCATCTTTCCCAATGAGAGCAGAACCAGCATTTCTTCCCCTTCGCTTTTTCAGCGCGAGAGTGGGAACCTGCCATGCACCCTCAGGCAAAATTGACAGGGAATAGTACAAGGGATGTCTTTACTGAGCACAGCTTTTTTGTAACCATTTCCGATATTGAAGGTCATAAACGAATACAAAGGAAGTAACCACCCAATCATGTCACTTCACGAGAGAGTTCTCAGTGTACTCGCTTACAAGGTGAGAATTATTAACTAGTAATTTGAAACTAATAATTTGAAACTTAGTAATTTTTCTATTTCAAACGATCAGAAGAGCAACGGCTCTCGCAATTCTCTTTTTAACATATCATCTTGTAATAAACTTACTTTCAGCCAGTGAATGAGGTTGTGATTGGAGCACCATACAATGTGACCGACGACATTATCGACCGATTCAATATCTCGGTAAGTTGTCTACTGGAAGCATGAAATATATCACACAAAATGAGATTCGTTTTAGATTGTCTGTCAAGGTAGCCGTGTACCCCATCACAATCACATGGGACCGGATCCGTTTGAAGCTCCAAAAAGGCGAGGTCAGAAGAATCGTTTCAAAAACATAAACTTCACTGAACGTTTAAAGTTTACCCTGTAAGACGGCAACTGCTCAATGGTGGTAGTATATTTTCTCATGTTCAAGGTGAAGTTCACATGAAAAGATGGCCACAATCAATGCAGAGGGAGGTGGTCAGTGATGCAAGTGTGAAGAGGAGAACCGACTAAAAGGGCTTAGAACTTGTGGAATGGGACTCGGTTCTACCCAGTTATTTGCGCTTTAGGCTGCCTCATCGCTGCTGATTTCGTAAATGCTAGCGCTCTGTGTTAGATGGCTAGCGTGACACGGCGAAGGGATGGGCGTGCCGCGGCGATAGCGGCGCGGGGACAGCCATGCTAGATCGCCGCCGACATATCCTTCGGGCGAAAGGCCCATCGCCCCGCACTCCTAGAAAGCCTTCCTGCCTTCCCACTAGGTATGTATATCCCTTCGACCTCCAGCTTTATTGCGGAATCCTGCTTTAGTACAGCCGTCATTGCAATAAAGCTATGGCGATTGTGGTTTCCGAAGAGATGGTGATGACTAGAAAGTGGTGCAGTGAACGATGTGGCAAGCTGCTCTCTGCACCCTTTCATCGAGACATGATTGCACTCGGGATCGCCAGTTCACCTCCACATATTTCATGTGAATCACAGTAACCCTACCCCTGGACCTGGCTACATACCCATTCACTGATTCTTCGTGTCGCACCAGCGTTATCTCACTACCTCGCTGACGAAGCTTAGACGAGCAGAGTACGCACCGCTGACATGTCCCTCATCAAGTGTAGCAGCACCTACAAAACGAGATAATTTCCTCTCAAAGTTCGAACGGGTCATCCTTCATGGCATTTGTGACCGAAAATTTTTGGGACAAGTAAGCAAGAGCAATTGCGCCAAGCTTATCCACATTTATAGGTATGTACCGTGAAGTGGATTCGAAGAGCGATATGACAACGGAAAAGATCATTCAGCGAATCATCGAGCACAGGTAACTAATATATGAGATACTTTATGTGGACATTGCTAGGTACGCAATCCGAAAAGTTGGACGGATGAAATCGTGTGCTCGTTTTAAAGCTGTGGAACATTTCTGATACAATCCAAAAGCTTAGCGAAGGAAAGGAAAGCTTCTACGTAGTGTAGTTAGTCTATTATACATAGTAAATGTCACAAATGAACCCACTCTTTAGCAACAGCACTGTAGTTAACTTGACAAGATGCAACTAAGTGAAAGGGATCTTTTTTGCTTTGAACATACTCAAAAGCAAAACTTGTTTATTAGTTTTTTGAAATTTTGTTTTAAGAAAAAAGAAAAAACCAGAAATTTTTCGGTACTTAGCTTCCGAGGATAGCTTTATTAGCAGCTCCTTGGGAGGACGTGGAACCATAACTTTCCGTCACCTGTTACCGTATCCACGTGAGTCGTAAGTGCAGACTTAGCAATGCGGGTCAGTAGAACTATCCTACTTACTATAAACCCTTTCGGCCCTGGCGGTGGCAATTGCCACCACCAAATTCAAACGCTTGCATTGCTTCTGAAACAGCATGGTTTTTCTAGTTCTGCTAGAGCTTGCTTCACTCAACCTTCCCCTTGCTAATTATGAGCTACACCTGCCGTTTCATTGTGTGTTGCTGTTTGTATTACAATTATTTGTGTACAAGTGCAACAATGAATGGGCGCTGGCCCCCGCAACCGGCCAAGTAAGTGCGACTTTTTCTTGAAATACTTGAAGTAGATCCATTCCTTAATTAAAATTATGGGTTATAATGTTATGCAAGATTGTAAACTTCTTCGGCATAACTATGGAATTTCGAATTGTTTTGACACAAGCTTAAAAACTAAGAGGGTGGGCCAATTTTCAAGGTTCCTCAGTTTCTTTGTCTGTGATCGAATGACTTCCAAATTTCGCCACAATGATACCTATATGCTCACAAGTAATAAACAATAGCTAGAAGAAAAATTTCTCCGCGTGGAAAAATTCAGGTCTGAAAGGGTTAAAGCGCTTCGTCTGTCGTCTGTCTGTCGTGTGTATGTCTGTCACGAAACTCCGCAACTCTTCGGGATCCGCCTGGAGGGACCGGGTCAAGTGTGTTATGGGTGGGCAAGGTCTCACGAAATACAAAACACACCAGCTAAGCGGAGCCCCGCCTATAGAGGGCGTGGCGTGCGTCGAGATGAACTGTACCGAAGACCAAGATTACGGTTTCAGTGACAAAACGACCTCGAAACTGGGCCAAAAAGTGGGTAAAGGTGTGCATTTGTAAGCCACATCGCACTAGGGAGACCCACCTCCGGTGAGCGGGGCGTTTCTAAAAAAGCAGTGCTTTATGAAAAATTTCAAAACTCGCTTGGGAGAAAGCCTACAGAGCAGAAAACAATTAGGTGTAGGGCAGCAATGTCTAAGGTGTTTCCTGCATACATGACGTGGGCGGAGGCTCGAACAAAATGGGTGGGGCGCGCTCTGAAGTGTACAGCACTTTCTTACAAGTCCTCATAATTCGGGCTGGGGAAGTCTTAAAGAGCCGGAAAAAGGTGGATAGAGGTGTATGGAGAAGTGGAGGTCAGCTGTCAATGGTGGGCGGGGCTTGACCAAAGTGGGCGGAGTTTGCGACGAAAATTCAAAACTCGGCTCCAAGAAGTCCTAGAGATAGGGAAAACGGGGTTAGAGGTTGGCGAGGGAAAAGAGATCAACTGCCATCAGTGGGCGGAGCACGCACCTAAGTGGGCGGAGTTTGCCAAATGTGTCGTAGTTTGGTTTCAAGAGGTCCCAGAGACCGGTGCAAAAAAGGGGTAGAGGTCGGCGAAAGGAAGGGGGCCAAATGCTATTGGAAGGCGAGCACGCACCGGAGTGGGAGGAGTTTGCCACGAGATTTATTGTCCGGAAGCAGTCCGGAGACCGGGAAAAAAGAGGATAATGGTTGACGAAGAAAAAGAGGTTGAAAGCCGTCGATGATGGAGCGGATGGAATTCATTGCGAATTCAGATATTCGTGGTGTATCAAGCCAAATTTGAAAGTTTTCGTCGCACCATTAAAATTCGCCGCAGATCTGTTGTGCGCGCAATGCGTGCGGCGCCACTGGTGTACTTAATGATGGTATCAAAGCAGCTGATATTGGCATTTAGGAACTTGCTATATGCTACTGCTATTTAGCAGAATCAATAGTGATTGTAGCGAAAAGGTAGACATGCGTTCTGATGCTGTTGCCAGAGCCCGAGAAATGGTACCCCTTACTTGCAAGATGATTTCTGCATTGATGAGAGTTCTATCGCTGCTACCCTGTTCAACGCTAACGCTCTCTGCTAAACGGCTAGAGACCTGTGGCGAGTGATATAGTGGGCATACCCTCGCTGTGAATTGCGTGCCGTTCCTCACCTTTAAGGGGTCCGCCTGTTTTTCCACTACGTAATTTCCCCATTCTTCACCTTATTGTGAAGCAGTCCTTCAAAGACCCATCTGGTACAAGGAACAAGACATTTGTTTACCTCAGCTGTTCAGATCGGCAAATTTCTTTTGCGTACTCATGAATGAAACTATCCTTTCTAGGTTGGAGTTCGAATGTAGAAATATGAAAAAAGAAAAGAAAGAAATGGCAGCATTTGCTGCGCTTCAACAAATGGCAGCAAATGGTACGGTGGACACGAGGAACACGGTTAACATCATGAACATATGAATATGGTCTTACTGCAGTAATAAACCAAAAATGAAGCCGCCTATTTCAAATTATATACGACAAAATTATGTTATAGTAGAACCAGGTACCCTTATTGCTCCCTAAACGCCTTGTGTTAGCTCTGCAGGTATTACTTCTTGTCAATCCGGAACCAGTCGTTACTAGTATTGTATGTTTAGCAATCTTACCCTGTTCTCCATATGTATTGCATTACATTTGCTGTGATTACATTCGCTGGCCCCGGAACTCACCCCTATGACGAAAATTTTTGACATTATTCTACCTAGACATTTGATTTGTAGCAAAATGACGATTTTCGAATAATGTACATAATTAGCCATGATACTTCGATTTTCCAAATGCCCCTTTTCTTTTCTTGGGTGTGTTTTCCTGGACCATCCATGATCATAGTTGTGAAGACTTTGTTGTGTTCTAAGGTTTGTAAAATTATGTTGTGTGAGCTTGTTCTTTATAATCTTTCATTAACACGTTAATAACCGATTCTTAATTGCTTTCTGAAGCCTACACCCTATTTTTCTCAATTATCGTTTGTAAGCCGTGTAGCTCAACTATGCCAAAACTATGCCAAATCTTTTATACAGTCTGTTAGCTTTTTGAGTTTTATGCCTATTCGGTTGTACCCTTTACCTTTAAGTTTTTTTTAAAGATATGTGGGTTCAAATAAACGCAATGAAGTGGACAGCAGAACGTTATGATGCAGTGGGCTTCATTCCATGTGCCTTGTACTGTCTTTTATACAGACGGTCAAAAGTTTGGAAACTTTTTTATTTTTGATCTAGCGCGGCCGACATATAACGAAATTGCCTCAAATTTAGATACTACATACAAAATCAAGTCCAGAATACGATGGGGAGAATGATTTCCAAATATCTATGACCATGTTCAAGAAATAAGAGTTTTATCAAGAAATGGCGCGTCAAAAGTTTGGAAACTTTTGGTTTCCCTTATTATTATGATTCCTATCCTTCAATGTTAACTTGTTTCTGTAAATTTTAGTTCAGCCATTGAGTAATGTGTAATTCTAAAATGAATTCACATGCAAAGAAGCAGTTTTTCCATGGGTGATCTTTTTTTATACCATGCAATCCGGAATAAGAAATAAAAATTGTTTCTCAGTAAGCATAAGACGGATGATCATTCACAAAAAAGTATTCTCACAAAAAAATTGGTCCTCCTCAAATAGTTCGAAGGGTGGTTGGCACGCCCCGTATCCCCGATATGCCCGACTAAGAGACGATTTTTTCTGGTTGAACCTAATCGTATGAAAGTCCAAGCACAGCCCAACATCAGCCACGACCTGGTGAATATCAAGGATGATATCTCAACAAGAAGCCATTGTTGGGCTTTAATAACAGGATGGCCCAACTGGCTTTCGCACTAACGGCTAACATGGACCTAAGACGAGAGGTAAAACTTAGTCCAGAGCAACGAGCAGGATTTCTGTCCTCCTAAAAATGATGTTGTGGACCCTGTGAAGTGTTCAGTCAAATGAAACCCTTGTTTAGGGTATAAGATCCCAACATTTAGAAATAGTGGAAGTATTGCCATGGATGGTGATGTGTCCGACCATTCGGCGATTCCCCAGTTCTATGTAACCAGCAAAATGTGGGTTGGGCTAAGTACAAGAACAGTCTATAGATTACAATGTTTCTCTTCGGTTGTCAAAACTGGCCGAAAAAGATGGGTCTTCTACCGTGGAAATGACATATTGCAGGGGAACCTCCTCACTGCCGCCTCCCCAAACCCAGAAAAAGAAGCTGTTATGAAGCGACCAGGTGTAGATCCACGATCCAGTCGAATTCTACATCCCACGGAAAAACTGACATGTCGCTCAACCCACATTACAGTTAGGAATCCCACCAAATAATGCGATTCAGTTCGCAGAGTGCAGGGTTCAACTTAAAGGTCTTAAAATTATTTATAGTCAGCTCCGTGTCAACAAAAATGACGCTGACATAGAAATTCACAGCTACTCATCGAATAGCTAATTTATCATGTAGATTGGAGAGCTATTTTGCCTAATTTGCTGTGGAATTGAGAAGTTTCCAAACTTGACGCGCCATTTCTTATAAAAATCAGTATTTTTCAGAAGAGAATCTCGTTTTCAAAGATTTATGTTGCTTATCGTATTCTACACCTGATTCTGTATATTATACATGAATCTGAGACAATTTCATTGCCTAATGGCTACACTGGATCGAAAATAAAAAAGTTTCCAGACTTTTGACCGCTACAGTACGAGTACTCCTGTGATTATCTAAGTTATGGTAGATTCACCCGGAATTCCGACAATGTGTTCAGCATTCGTACTCAAAACATAAATATTCCGCAAAAAGCCTGAAAAGTGGTTGGAGGACTGGCCGGGGATTTGGTCGCTGGTAAAGCATACCCACGTTCCGAAGAAATCGCAGAAATGGTTCCAATACTGGCGTCGAGATAATGTTGGTAGGCCGGCTAATATATACCCCAGTCACTAAAAACGTGCAAAAGCAGCAAAAGAATCAGTGATAAATTTGAGGCGTCACTGAGAAAAGAAGCGCAGAACCCCGATATGTTGTAGGCAGTGAGCGAGGGCTAACGAGTAGCGAACTCAGCCAAAGGAGCTAGCTCAAAGTGGAACTGTGAACATAGAGCCACTAATGGGAAACTCGGGATCGATGTGATAATGTGCAGGTATGAACAAGCTATATATGCAGAAAACGTGATGGAAAGGAGCCATGGCTGGGAAACTCGAAGGCGGTGTCAAGCTCTTCTATATCCTTCACAGGATGCGTCTCTGTTGTGAAGAAGATCAGCGATCATGGATGTAAGGATACATACGAAGAAAGGAATGTCCGCGGGCACACCGCAAGCGAGGGAAGGTGAGGGGTGAATGAACTTGGCTCTGAACACGAAAAGGATGAGTTCTCTCTGATTGTCGACGACGCCGTCAGATTGACGCGGAAGCTTACGTTACCATAGGAAGTGACCTTAATGACCGCATCGGGGGGAGTTAAGTGATATGAAAAGAGTACACGTGTGAGGAACGCCGAGGATGAGGCATATTTTTCCTGCCATTGTGAAATCTGACGACAAGTATTGGCTTCTTCAGAACGTTTCCGCCGATTTTGACCCATAAATTCAAAAGCGCATATCTCGACTCAAACGAAACATTTCTGATCGAAATAAAATCTATTACAATGCCTATACCTTTACCTGGAAGGAGAGAATTTATTAGATCTAGATGGAGAAAGTGCTGCGGTTCTGCCGGCGATGATCGCGGTGAGGTCGTTTCACTGTGTTATGTTGCAATGTTTAATTTCTCTAAAAAGACTACCCACACGGCTGAAAAAGTAGCAGTCGGTAGGCAATAGGTCTAGGCAAGCTAGTTCAACTTGCACATGGGGAGAGTGCGAGATGGGGCTGGCCAACAGAGGGACGAAGAGACGGCGACACCTACTCGTCGACTCCTTTGAAATTTTTACCCTTACCTGTATATTTGGGAACCCTATATCGGTTACCCCTAATTCGAAAGGGGCCTGTGCAACAGTTCCATGCAGGATTTTTTTTTTGATTAAAATCCTCAATTAGTCTTTGTCACTCTAAGATATCAGAATGACCCTGATCTTTTTCGAAGCTTTCAAGATCGCGAGAAAGACATTTTGAATCACCACAGCACACCGTGCTTTCGGTGGTTCAGGACCAAATGCTTAGTCAATAGCCCGACTCGCTTACGCACTTTTCCGAGCAAATCTGAGGGGAATATTAAGACATCAAAAAATAGGGGAAAAGTGTTTAAGGGAGGAAATGACAGTAGATTCAATTCAGTGCGCTTTCTAATTATATGTAAAGTTGTAGTAGGCTCTCAAAAGTGATCCAGAAATGAAGCGCTCAAATGTGAGCGACTAAAAACGGCGGAAACTTTCCGAACAGCCCATTACATGGTGCATCCTAGAGCAGGGAGTCACTAAAGCGCCTCATAGGTGAGTGTGCCCGAGCAGTTCTTTCAGTGGAATCTCAACGCTTTCAGAGTGAATCAAAGCGGAAGATGGTGCAACGACTTCGGCGGATTGACTTCCATTAGAAAACCTGGCAAAAGAAAAGCCAGATTTCCAGTAGAAATCAATAGACGTTATCAAGCATAGATCATGTAGTTTTCAACGGTTTCAACCCGTTCTCAAACTTCACCAGCTTCGAAGGGTACACTAAATCAATCATAGACCGCAACGAGAGGAGATCCAGAACAGTGAAGAACTTAACCTGAGCAGTGGTCCACAGCAGGGTCAACCCTACGTTGTTACGAGTAACAACGGGGGGGTCGTACCTGGTTGAGTTTGTAGGAGGGGGGGGGGTCGTACCGACTTTAGTTGCTCGAAATCAGGGGTGGATTGAGAAAACTAAGATTGTGGGTATGTAGGTGTGGAGTAAGGCGCGCGCAGTAAAAATTTGCGTATATACCTCCCCTAGAAAAGGAAACAGTGAGATTATAGGGAGAAATGGCAAATTGGTTGAAAATTTAGGGAATTGTGGGGAAAATTTTTACTGTTTCAGAAGAACTATATACCCCCCCCGCTCGACGGCATTTTTGGAGGAAAAAGTGGGCGGAGTTTTGAGGGTTGAGTGGTAGTGGAAGTTAGTGTTATAGAGAGGAATATGGTGATCGAGGTGTCGGAAGGGGGGTCGTAAAAAATTTTCGAATAGTAACACCGATAGGGTTGACCCTGGTCCACAGTCGATGGTAGCGGTTACCAAGCAGTAAGAGCCTGTATATATATACGAGGTCTTTAGGGCCTGCAGTCTTCCTGACAGCAAGAACAAGCCCATGAGAAAAAGGCAACTTCACTCCGTTGAGTAAGGGGGTTCAGACACGTGAAGCTGAACGCGAGTGGACAGGGTCAGGAACGAAAGCGACTGCAATGGTCCAAACACGCGCTGGGAAGGCCACATGATAACAAAAATACTAATTTCTAAACGCGAGGAATCATACCACGAAGAGCGCCAAAGGAGATCGAGGCATGCCATGAAGAACCTCGCTGAAGTTAATGATGAGGCTGCTAGCATCTTCTATAGGAAAATGGTGATATTAGACAAGCACAACCAATGCGGCAGATCAAAACTTAGCAAGGAGAAGATTCATGCTGACCTCGAGTCTGCTTCTTCCCAGAAGCCTCTGTAAACTTTCTCAGAGCAAATTTTCACTAGTATGGAACAAAGATCGTGAACAACGTCTACAAACGCATATACAACAAGTCCATGATCAGTTTTCCCTAACTCATATGTTGGTCGAAACACACTCCTTACTAGCACATTCGCGTCGGCGCCCTTTTCGCTTTTTAGTGCTACGAACGCGATCTTGCCGTCGCCTCACCTCGTATGGGTGGATTTTGTGTAGCAAATGGATAGAAACACAAATATCGTAAAGCAATTTTAGTCATCTATAAGGCATCAATTATTCCGATGTAAAAATCAAGCAAAAAAATTTCGAGAAACGTTGGTTAGGAAGCCATTAGCTGGCAGTCCATGCGGGCTGCCAGCAGCTTGTGCATTAAGGGCATGAGAGAACAAACTGTTTTGGTATGAATACGTACTATTGCAACGCTAAACCTAATTTTGGAGTAGCCAACACTTCCATCATAACTTTAATCTCATTTATTTGACTTTCACTCGAGGATGGCGCATCCCAAAAAAAACAACAAACAAACAAACACAGCTGCAGCTTATGTATGCCACTCCTGCGAGTTTGAAAGTTCAAAAATGAAAACAAAAAGAATAACGAATAAAAAAGCCTAAGGCGAGTTGCCGCTACGGCGTAATGTCCACTGTAATCAACGAGAAGTGCTAAACAGTAGAAGGGTATAGACTAAAAAACAGCTATTTAACCGGTTGGAAGCTATTCTCGGAGCAACTTCACTCGTAAATCCGAAGACGACACGGGAGGAGAGATGAACGAGAAAACGATTGGATAAAACTCTAGCAAGATATAAGAAACCGATCAGGACATCTTATGATGATGACGATGGAATAAGAAAAGAGAAACAAAACCAACACATAATGACTGATAAAGACAGAACTTGCGCAAAGATCAACGGACGGCGGATGCTGTGGATGAAATGCTCGAAAGGTGTTTATGTGGATGGGAGTGGAGATGGTGCATAGAACTGGTAATTTGCTAGTTACATTGGCAAAAGAGTAGTGCGGACCGGCCAACGAAAGAAGTATGAATTGATTCAATTGGTGGACGCAGAAATCTAACACCAGAGCGCAACAGACGTGCTACCGTAGCCCTAGCGTCGCCAACTAACATGCGAGCTCTCCGCGTATACTTCGCCCAGAGCACATATTTCGCCCAAAGCTTTACGTCGCCGCTTGGGGATTTCAGAATGAGCAACACCGAGAGTCATCTGCGATGTCGAGATTAGATGTTCTTGAACCATTCCTAGGCGCAATGTGCAGGTGAAGATGCGGGGCATCCTCTAGGACTAGGTCTAAAGTCTAACTCGTGGAAATCGAAGACTGCTCACGCACCCTGGAGTCTCTCCTCCCGCCTAAGGCTCAATCCAGTTTTTGATGAAGCATAAGTCCGTTCTTGTGAAGTCAATGGAAAAACAAATAACTTCAAATGAGATACTACACCCCTTCTCGAGGACGGGAAATGCATACGGGTCCCTACATGTTAGGATTCGCAGTTTCGAGCACAGTGTGAAGAATGTCGCCGTGGCAGGATCGCATGTTATTTGACTGTGCCAGGGTTACGGTAGTCCGTCGGTAGCGTACAGATATTAGATTCTTGTTTGTTGGAAGACATTACGGACAACCGAAGATAGACAGGTACGTTGACTGAGGATCATACAACAGGAGTTACAGCTTTCGTTAAAGGAAATGTATGGAATCACATCTGGCCCTCTTCGACTAACACTTCTTCGATTGATCTGCCCTCCTCCTTGGCGCGTAGGTATGTCTGATAGTGTGGAGATTCCTGAAAACAGAAATAAGCCGAAATGAAATCTACCAAATGTGACGTCGTCAGCTTATTGAACTAATCTAAAAGGCGAAGCTCATTTTAAGATACCTGTTGATTTCTGCATTGATGCGCCTCTCATCGTGCTCCCCTCGTCTACGCTAACGATCTCTTCCTCTCCTCTCTCTTTCCCTCTCTCCCTCTGCTAAAGACCTGCGGCGAGTGGTCAGCCACTCCCTTAGCGTTCCGCGCCGATAGCTGCGCAGGGAGGTTCATATAGGTCGCCAAAGGCATGTCCTTTTCAAGGAATTGCGCGTCAGTTCCACCCTCAGAGGGTCCGCCTTTTTTTCCAATACGTAAGTTTCCCCTTCTTCAACCTTCTTCCTCATCGTGGAATCCTCCTTCAAGCAATTATGCTAGATGGCACAATCTGGGAAACGGACACTCCAAAGAAAGAGTAAGATCAGTATTACAGGAAGTAAGCAAACCAACCCGTTTGGCGTTCCTGCTGGGGCCGTATGCCGAATGTAGGGGATGGTATGGGGTTCCGCCGGTCGTCGGACTACTTCAACTCGGTCCTCGAAATCGCCTCAATGTGGTGCTTACCTCAGGACTAAGCCTTAAAGGGAGGACGGTCCTGCCAGTTAGCGCAGGACCGTCCTCCCTTCAAGGCTTAGTCCTGAAGTGAGCAAACCAGCCCCTTTGGCGGAGCTGCTGGACCTAGCTGCACCACTTCGTCATCGCTCTCCTACCGTACCAACCAAGTTAGTGTAGTCCGTTGAGCTCGGGGACCCCATCTCCTCCCCAACATTCAGTATATGGCCCCAGCAGAAACGCCAAGGGCTGGTTTGCTTACGTCGTATCATAGTAGCAAAGACAGTTTGCAGGTGGGATGCTGACGTTTCTATTTGTCATACAAGGAAACATCCCACTAGCTCATCAGCAGAAAATTCCAGGGTACGACAGAGTAACTTGGCAAAGTGCTTTTACGCAGAAGAGGCCGGCCCAAACTGCCAGGACATTTTCCTTATTGCTGTCAGTACTCTACTAAATATAAGACATTAACACGTTGACGACCGCCGTTGTGCGCGTACTGCTTCAACATTTTTCGTATTCTCCCATCAATAGACATTAATCCTCCAGCGTTTTCATTATCAGTGATGAAAAAATTGTTTTCCGGATCCAATAATGTACATGGACCGTTAAGGAACAGGAAAAAACGCGAAATATTGAGGAAAACTAGTTTGCGGCATGCGAAAGTGTGGTATGACAGCATACTACACAGTCAACGTGTTAAGAGTGTAGACGAAAAGTTAGTCAATCAAAGCTCCACACTGATGTAGGGCCTTAGCCGCAAGATGTGAGAACTCTGCGGAAATGACTAATCTTCGAATGGTGCATATGAACGTCAACTTTAAGATCTGAGCTAAAATACCATAACTGATTCAAGAACGGCGACAACCATTCCGCTAAGGGTTACTGATTGGTAATGACATGACCAAGAGTAGGCAACCAAAACCGCTAACAAGGGAAGGATGGTAGGTCGAAGTGGCCGTTCGAAATGAACGTATACCTCTTAATGCGTCTCCAAACGCTGATTCCAAATCTGCCCTCCAAATCTGCTAAACGACTCTCCGAACGGAGTTGTGAAGCGTAATAGCTCAGCGGTGATGGTCCGGGGTGGCAGGTGGGGAAAAGCTCGTAGGATCGGTTCCTTTGCACGTTTGTTGCTTTGCTTTTGTCCGCAACACTTCTAGAGACAAAAGCAAAGCAACCAATTTGCAATGGAACCGATCCTACGAGCTTTTCCCTGCCACCCCGGCTTATCACCACTGAGCTATTACGCTTCATAACTCCGTTCGGAGAGCCGTTTAGCAGATTTGGAAGGCAGATTTGGAATCAGCGTCTAGAGGCATCAGGAGGAATACATCTCATTTTATACGGCCACTTCGACCTTCCATCCTTCCCTTGTAAGTAAAATTTTGTTATTTTCAATCAACAGTGTTTGAAAACACTAAATGCTAGTCGACCAGAATCATCTGGAGCTCGATGATTCGAAGCCACATTCTTTTACGTGGCCTGACAACCCAGAAGGCTATGAATTGTCGGCCAATGATTTTCAGGGATCTATTACTAAGAATAGTGGCCCAAGTAAGAAAGCCAACAAGCGTCAAAAGAGCGCTCCATGCCACTAGCTTAGCTAAATTAACGAGATTCGACAGCTAGAAATATCGGAACATTACCTTGAAAATTCTCATTTTCCTTTGAATACCCCTTGCGTTTTCCTTGTAAATATTTCTAGGATCGGCAGCCATTGCCTAAACAGGGATGCTTTACAAAAAAATTATCCGTGAAGAAGAAATGCCTGCAAAAGGGGAAGCAACCTACGTTATAGTTTTCCCCGTGTGAGTCCAACAATCCAGAGCAGAAAATGATATCCTTTGGAAGCAGTTTGTACACTCGTTCACGATTTGAAGGCGTCTAAACAGGTCATAGAATAAGCAGGTCTTCTGGGCGTGAGTAGTAGAAAACAGTTCTTCATTTTCGTTTTCCAACTGCCTCCTTCAACTGGCCAGGTATTCCGGAAGTGTCTTTCATTGAATGTTTGTAACAGAGCCGTGTTTCAACGTCGTGTGATACAAAATATGTGTAGCCCATATTTTCAACCAGGTGTACCGATCTGGGCTGGTTCAAAAACAGTACATAAATAGGGGTTAAGACTTGCCGTGAATTAATAGAGCTCTCAACAGGGCTAATTTTCATTTATTACACAAAAGATAGCCAAATAGGCCCCGCGAGTTTGTACCGAATTCTCGTGTAGGGTTGAAGTATGGAATTGACATTTGACGTTTCGTCGCTTTTTCGCTAGAACGAAGGTTGTGAAAATTCTTCCAGCGTCGCATACAAGTTTTCTTCCGACCTTCATATATTAAAGATGCTGGGCTAGTTCCAAGTATGAATCTGAGAATCTGATTTGCCCAGTTGGAGTCAATGAAAATTGCGGCGGACGAGTTTAGAGAGCAGGATATAAGCTACACATTTCCAAACATACATCAGCAGAGCAAACCCTCAAAGCACCTCAAGACCTCAAAGCCCAGCTAGCTAATCCATCACAAAAATCAGTTTCAATAAGTAGTCATAAAAAATATGAAGTGAATTCTACCTCAGCCGTGTATGTGTTCATTTTCCCACATCTATGCTCGTATGTTGCTGGTTATAATTGTGCTTTGAAATTTTTTTCGTGCTTTGCAACTCACAGTTATGTATGATCTCTTTACAGCTAGTATCTTGGCCTTGTCGCCGTTTATGCAGGTTTTTTATGTTTATGTTTGTTCTTTTGTGGGCTACACTGAAGCCCTTGCATGAGTCTTTTCTCATGCAATCAATATTATTAATATAATTATGAAATGTCCTGAACCATTTGCTTGTCAATAATGAGGGAACTCAAAAAACCCTTGGACAACTGCGAATTATCTTTCCATAATTCTGCACTCGTATGTTTAATTTAACACCAAATGTGATAAAAAATTCTTCAGTTTCTGCTTGTACCTACTTGGGGAGCTAGCGAATGAAGAAGCAGCCATTTTCAAAAAGGTGCTGCAAAACAAGCATGACACGATTCGATTAGTTCAGCGAAATTAAAGAAAGAATGAAAAGTCTTCGAGCAAGAATGACAAAACTAGTTAGATGTAAAACAGTTTACGCAAAACCTCACGTTTGTCCGCTGATATGAATAAGCAACTCTAAAAACAAAAATTAATAGAGGAAAGCGCTTTTGCTTCAGAAGAGCTAAGATAGTGCTCAATTTTGGATGCTGGTTTCGAAAACTGAGAAATTGTCTCTGTTCGGAGACAATTCTGAAAGCGTTACAAATCCAAAAAAAGCAGTGAAATTGGAAAATCTCTGATTTGATCCACTTGAGAAGTTCAAACAGAGTTAGATAGCCTTTTAATCAGTCACCTCGCTAACACCAAAACTTCACAGGCATTCGCGAATAAATGCACCCAACAAATAACAATCACTTTTCGCAAGCATAATTCACATACGAAAACTATCTGCAGATATTCTGTCGAACTTGTTTTTAGTTTTCTCTGTTTTTAATCTAACAACTACTGCAAGCAAGAAAGTATAGTGCAACAGAACATGGGGAAAAATACTTCTAAAATAGTTCTAAAGAAAAAATGCAGGATGCATAACACCGGAATCTCCGTTCACAAACCGTAGGTCTCGAGAAGTGTAGCTCAATGGGAAGTGGGGTGATGTGCATCTTATGCTCGGATGGTTCCACCTTCTTCTCAGCGAGTTGAGCGAGTTGATGATCGATCGTCACCTTCTGCACACAAAAAAAGCTCTAACTATAAGAACAACTGAACAGAAGCACAACACTGAACGTGCTCACAATGGAAATTTTGAGAAAATGAAGTATTGAAACGGCACTGGAAATCTCGAAACAGTGCGACATTAATGAGTTACCCATTCCCACGTAAATTATAAGGCTCTTGACATGAGCTGCATCGAATGCTGCGATGCAACACGGATTGTTATGTTGTGTATCGCCCACTCCGCAAATTCGCGCACTTGCAAGAAAATAAGACGCGGCCAATAATCAAAGTGGCTATTAGATAGGGAAAATATATCAAGAAGACATAATTCACATTCTTACATTGTGTGCAATTTTGAGCGTAAATTATGCTCAGCGCGTTAAGTCATCACTAAGGATGCAAAATACTGATACTTCGCTAATGTATGTACATTAAGAAGTCACTGCACTGTCGAAAAAGACGCGACAACAAGGTGACAAGCTAGTGTGGAGCAAAAATGCGGTAGTGTTGAAGCGCATTACCCCCAACGCTATCAAAAGCAGCCGTTTCGTAAAACCAAGATCAGGCCGATGTCATAGTTTGCGAATCGAGCGAATCGCTGGATATGAGCGCTGCGCCAGCGAATCGAACCTTGCACCAGCTAATCGACCGATGCACCAGCGAGCCGAACTATGAACCAGCGACTCAACACCTTGAAAGTGGCGGGAAGCAAAGTTTAAAGAAATTCCCACCACTTTCAAACAGTGTCGAGTCGCTGGTCTATCGGTCGCTTCGCTGGCGCAAAGCCAGATTCGCTGGTGCAACGTTTGATTCGCTGGGGCAACGCTTGGATTCAGCGATTCGCTAGCGAATCTCTCGATTTTCAATCAATCCGTTAACTACCAAACAAGTTGCGCTCAGAGGTGTCACGTTCGAAGCTCACTATGTCAAGAGCCTGCAGAAGAAGACTTGAGAAGAATCGCGAAAATTTTACGTTATTAGTCGAAATGACCATGCAACAATCACAATACCCTAACAAGAAGTGTTCCATCAAAAACGTACCACATTTGGATCAATTTCAACAATTTCGGGCCTAATCCTATGTGTTGTTTCGTGCACTACTGTCTTATGCATAGTATGCGAGACCAGTTTCTCGACATTCTGGGCAAATTGCGTGGGAGAGGTTGTTGGTGAAGTGGTAGAGGTTTCTGAAATTGAATGGATGAAGGATAACTGATAACTTTACTTTGTCAAAAATCAATGAGAGAGAAGAAAGAAAAAAGCAATACCTTTCACTCCATTGACATTATCAGAGCTGGTTACTTCGTGCACCTGAATTGGGGGTGATTTTGTCACGGACGGAGCACTTTCGTTCTCATGTTTGGTCAGTTCCTGACAACAGAACCTTTCAGTTCATTGCAGACTTCGAAATTACGAAAAATAAATTTAAATCTATGAGATGTGAAATTTTACCGTCATGATAGTTACTGTGGGCACCTCGGTGGCGGTTGAGGGTGCTTGCTTGCCTTTCTTTTCTTTCTGCTTGTTCTTCTTTAGCGAAGGCTCATCCTGAAACCAGTTATAGTATTGCTGCCCTCCTTACGCTGCATGCATGCAGCTTAAAACAATCGATTGCCATATTTCTTTGCTTTTTCATGATGGTATTCGTGGGTAACGTTGTGTGAATATCAAGAACCACTGGGACGATTTGATGATTTTCTGCAATGCTATGAACTAGCGAGCTTGCACTATGCTGCAAAAGAGCACTGCAGGAATAATGAATACTTACGCGTAGCATGTAATTAGTGAGCAGGCGTTCGCGGGTCAGCTATTCAAAGGGTTTGTCCGCGCTTAAATTCGCACTCGACCCTCATGCAACTCATTCCATCTTTTTTTTTCGAATGAATACTGCAGACCTGCTCCGTCTCGCGCTGCTCCTGTTTTTGATCGTGATGGCCATTGGTGTCTTTGTGGCCTGTTTCTACAGTGGTCTCCTGAAGTGACAAAAAATGAATGTGGACTGAGATGTACTCTGTTTCCCATGACAAAGGGTGCCGTGAATGCAGACTTGGCAACACACGTGAGTTCAGAGAATGAAGAACGCGTGGAGCATCGCCATGAGCTACACCAATTTTGCATTTACGACACCATAGTATACAGGAAACAACATGTGCTACTTCATAACTTCAAATCCACACATCTGTTTTTTTATGAAGCACACACACAAATGTTGAGAAGGTCTCAATAAATTCAGAATATAAGCTTAAAGCAAAAGCCAAACAATTAAAGAAACATAATAAGTGGTTTGCTCGCCTCAGGTATCAGAACATCATTTTCGTGCTTATTTCCTTTGTGACCTTTTTTCTTTTCACCATCCACTTGCTGGAAGAAAAACTTTATATGTCCTGAACAACTTTCACGTACTGAGGAAGTGGCCGGAAAACATACATATTGAGTAAGACTTCAGTAATAACCCCTACCACAAAACCTGCATCTGGGATATCACCAATTGGGGCCGAATCGATTACATGATCTGGTTCATCGAAAACGGCATGAGTAACATGGCCGTTGGCCACTTCGACAGCCTCATTCTCGCCTTTCTTACTCTTCTTATTCTTCTTGCCATGCGCCTGTAAATAGCAATAGTGAGAAAAAAAACAACACTCAAAAAAGCTTAGAAGGAAGTCATGGGACAAGGAGCGCCGAAGTTGCGCAGAGATCAGGCGCTGAGCAAGCTTATTCCTCAGCCTCGGCTGCACAAACAGGGTATGAAATTGCCGTCATATCTTGATGAATCGGACCCCTCATCCCTCCAACTTGCGTATTCCAGGATCACCGATTCGCCTGAGTTGTGTCCGGATCGCATGAAGCTTAGCAGTTGTCTTTGGTTATGTGCCTACACACAGAAAACGGGTATGATTAATATATTCGGTGATGCTTCGAGTGGTTGGCCCCACCCAACCAGGAAGCGTACATACTCTCGCACATAATGGCTCGACCCAAAACCGAAGCAAACCTCTACTATGGGAACTCCTATATCTGATACATTCTTTTCACAAGAGAAACACTTTGCTAAGAATTGAAAATAAGCAGTGAATTAGCATCATTCAACCTCTAGGGCCATGCATGCTTTCAACCTCAATCGTAATAGCCAACTTTTATATTGGATAGGTATAGTGAGCTGCTAAAGCCAGCTGTTGCTGCATACGCTACACCCTATCGTATGGAAAAAATAAGCGATCCATCAGAGATGGGTGATTTCATTGACCAGAACACGACTTCCATGGGTTTTGCAAACGAGGATAATGACGTCTCGGGCCACTGCGCCCCATTTGAAAGTGCCGCAGTGAGGGCCCGGCCCAACAAATTTCAAGTGCAAATTTCAAAGTAGGCGAACCTCAATGTGTTTGCCATGAGCTTTTTCATCATCGGCATCATTGGAAAGTATTGCTTCATGTTCGCCATTGTGAAAACCGGAGTCACTTTCGCTGGTTTTCTTCGCCTTACCTCCTTTCTTTTTCGACTGCTGTAAAAATAAAGGGTACACAGGGCATGAATAAAACTAAAAATCTTTTTGCGCAGACTAATTCATAAATTCCACCTTTTCTTCTTCAACCGGAGGCGGAGTTATTTCCACTGCATTACTAACTTTGAGTGGCGATTCCTTCTCGACGCTTGGCTCCTTGTCCTTCTTCTTCTTTTTCTTTTCAGGCTTAAATATCTACCTTTAAAAAACGGACTAAACCATCCACTCTGTTTTTACACATTGACTACAGTGCATGCACTAGCCCTCCTGCCCTGCAAGTGACAGGGTGTCATTCGTTAGGCCAAAGACAGATTTGGCGTTTTAGGGGGGGACGTTCAGAACAGGGCATTCAAAAACCGCTAGTAAGTGACACTAGGACTGAGGTCAGGATTGGAAATAAAGACCAGGAAGAACAATGGTTGCTCACATCATTTCCAGAGGCCTTTTCCCTCTCTAAGGCTCAGTTCCAAATTCTAGGAGCTGTCCACTCATTTCAGTGTCCCCCCCCCCAAGAACATGAGCGCCAAAGATTTTTCCGCTTTTCGCAGCGCAAATCTTTTTTCGCCGAGAAACTCAGGTCCACTTCTAATCACTGATGTACCTAGGATCCTGCAGCGAAAGTTTCGCGCTGTGAGAAGCGGTACAGCAGCTGTCTGTTAGCGAACCACTCCCAACCAGGGTCAACAAAATCGTTGGTACTTTTTGGAATACGAACCCCTCCCCCTCATGGGCAATTTGATACGACCGGGTGTGGCTCATTAGGACAGAGCGACGTTTCCGCATTTCGCAACGCGAAACATTCTCCGCTGCGGAAACCTCAAGTCCACCGCCGATCATCAGTGGATCCGAGGTTCCCGCAGCGACCATCAGCGGACCTGAGATTCCCGCAACGAACAGTGTTTCGCGCTGCGAAACGCGAAAAAGTCGCTTTCTGTCCTAATGGACCACGCCCGACACGACCCCCCCCCCCTCTGAAACCTGAAAAACCTGTAATAGGTGTATGAAAACTAGAGGTAGCGTTTTTAATTGGATCACCGAGGCTCAGCCTTTCCGAGTAAAACTCTTTTGCTATCAAGCAATTTGAAATGAATAAGTTAGTAACCAAAAAATAAAATTGCACCACAATTTTTAACATCCTCTTTCTAGGTATAAATTTCTTCATATTCAAACTTTTGCGCCGAAGTGATTTGATTTGAAAAATTCAAATTATTTTCACTCCAATCATGTCTAAATTTTCTTCCAAAGTTAATTTACTAGAAATTTAGCACGTTGGAACTTTTTTTCCGTGTAAATGCGAATTTCCAACCTTCAAACAATCATAACTTCCTTCAAACTCATTGAATTAGTAACCTAAACCCGGCATGACAAATTACAGGATCCAAGCCTTCTAGAAAGTATCCGAACGTTCTTGAAAAGTCAGCAGTTTAAAAATTAGTCCCGTTGGGACTTTTTTTTGGGAGGTTGTGGAACTATTTTTCTGGAACCGCGACTTTTTAACCTTCAAACGATCATAACTTCCTTCGAACTCATTTAATCGGGAAGCTGAACGCGGTATGACAAACTACAGGATTCAAGCTTTCTAAAAATACCGAACATTCCTGGGAAGTTAGCAGGTAAAAATTCAGTCGCGTTGGGACTTTTTTGCTGGACCATTCTTCAAACCATTTTCTTGAAACGCGTTTTTTAGGTTTCACTGGTCGTGTCCTCCAGAGAAAGCAATTTGTGGTTGAACATAGAATGCGTTAGAAAGCTTTGCGTGCGCGTGCAGTGGCATACCCTGCATTGGTGTGCGCCACGCCTCGGCGCCCTTCTGATTCGCTGATTTGCTTGGAAGCTTGTTTGGAAGAAAGCGCGGCTCTATAGATGCTATAGCATCAATCATCTTATAAAAGCGTAACGTGCTCGCCATTATCCGATATTACCAAGAATCCCACTGCCGGCCACCGAGAGAGTACGATCCCCCTAAAACCTAAACCAAGTGCGACCCCCGTTGGTACTTGTCCCAACACAGAGTTGACCCTGCTCCCAACAGACATCTATGTGAACCGAAGGATGTTTGGCCATTCTGTAAACGATGTCGTTCATAGTGACTATAAGTTGTTATTCATTAAAAGAAAAAAAGCCGCGCCACAGCAAACAGATGACGTGGGTGCGAGGCACACGAGCGCTGCTCTCAGTGTATTTGACTGATACTACTACAGATAGAACAATTACAATGTGAGTAAAATAATTGTCACTTTAAGGTGAGAAACTTAGAGAATAACAAACCTCCTCCTCAACTTTCTTGGCAGCTGGTGCAGTTGGCTGTTCAATGGGTGATGTTTTTTCCTTAAAAAGGAACATAAGAGTACTCAAAATTATTTAGAATCACAGTTCAGAATTTAAAATATTTACAAAGGGTATGATAAGATTAAATTTACAAAAAAATCAGAAAGGGAACCTTCCGGCCAATTCCAACAGAATGTATTGAACAAATTTCGTAGACTCAAAAACACTCACAACAGAAACTGCAGTTTTTGTGGCTTTTTCGCTCTCCGCAACTTTCTTCGCTTTCTTAGCCTTTTCTTTTTCCGCAGCCTTAAGTAGAAAGAATATCAAGCGAAGGATTAGTAGAAATAATAGAAGAAGTGGACTAAACAAGAAAGTCGATTTATATGAAAAAAAAAAGATTTCATACAAGTAGTGCTTCATGAGCTTTTTTGGCCTCCTCAGCAGCTTTCTTCTCAGCGGCCTCTCGTTCAGCAGCTTCCCTTTGCATTTTCTCCTCTTTCTTCCTCTGCGTTTCTTGCCATTTCTGGTATTCAAGTTCTTCCTGACGTCTCTTCTCTTCCTCTCTCTTCAGCCTACGTTCCTCTCTCTGAAAATTATACTGAAAATGTTAAACGTTCACGAAAGTTCGAAAAAAAATGAAAAAACACACACACAAAATCTGATAGCCAAAGCTGACAGACCTCTTTCTCCTTCCTAAGTAGCTCCAGCCTACGAATCTCCTCATCACTTTGCTTCGAAAGCAGCTTCTTCTCCCGCTTCTTCTCAGCCCTGCGAGCACGCTCTTCCTCGCTCACCTTGATCAAAATCAAATATAGCAATTCAATAGCTGTGCGTGTAAAACAAAGATATCATTCAGGTGAGCAGAACCTACGGTGAAAAGCGAATGGGGCGGACTTTGCGAGCGGTAGATCTGTGCCAAATCGCTCTCCGTTAACGATCAAAAACAACAGACACACAACAAAGGGCACCAACTGCGGATGGCTTTCGAGACCACACAGTTTCTATTGCTTCTAATACTCGAAAAGTAACAAAGCAGATTTTTGCCAAACCTCTTTCTGCACGGGTGCTTGGGCAGTGACGTGAAATGTTTGTCTTTTTGCTGCCACATCTGGACTGTAAATGAGCGCGTGAGCCCTAAAATGAAGATGCTTGTAAATATTTTGAATTCTTTTGGGATCTGCTGTCCGACGGCGCATCTGCTGACGCAACCCGCTGACAAAAAACATGTTGAGAACTGTAGCCTACCGCTGCTCTCAAGTGTAGACAAAACAACATGTCGGTACTACGGCCTTGAAATGTTGTGTTGTTAAGTGTTGAGAGCAAGAGTTTGTATGTCAGGTCCTAACATATTCTTCTCTGTTAGCACCAGTGCGAACAGTTACGTCAGCAGATGTCCCACCGTCGGACAACAGAACCTTATTTTGTTTCAACCTCACCAAAATTTCCCCTTACAATTCTTTCATAATATAGAATGGTGATGGCACGCCAAAAAGCATACCAGCCATGGATGATAAAGAGGTTAAGTACACTGGACGACGACTACTACAACAGTTACTTTGAGTTTTTGGAAGCATGTGTTGAAGATGATGTAATAAGTATAGTTGGAGGAATATAAATGGATTCATCTTCTGACTGGCTAGAACCAAGGATCAGGCGTCTGCGTTGAGAAGTGACCGCTGGTCTTTTCGCTTTCAAACAGTGGATAAGGCTGATCCACAAATAGTACGTGAAGGTTATTAAGGCGGTCGGTTGGAAAAAAACGAGAAAGGAAAGGTAAAAGCTGCTGCCAAAAAATGAGTGATTGCTTCTCAAAACGTCTTCTACGAAGTAGGCAAAACTCGATGCTGAAGGGATTGGGGATATCTCGATCAGGATGTACAGGAACCGATCCAGGATTGTACTCGCGAACTACACGAGTGAACCCTGCACCTCTTCTACTTCAATTCAATTTTCGAGTGCACCACTCATAGCAAATTGATAGCGAAATGTGGCGCTTCTAGTGTCATCGGGAGTACTCAATTAATATCAACTGATTATGAAGTTCGTAGGAAAGTTTATCGTACCGGTATACATTACGAGTTAAATTTGTGCCACATGAAAATAGGCAGGGTTAAAATTGCGGTATCGTATCAGAGAACCGTTACCTTTAGACCAGAAATGGCCTGGCAGTTCAGCGGAGAAAGTTTAAATACAACGATTGGCACGGTTTTCGCCAAAGACTTGGAGCTTACAAAAACTGGAGTGGTTTTCGGACACGAAAATGGAAGCATTTGGTGCGAAGTAGGCTGGCAATAAAGAAAAATGAAAAATAAACAGTCGAACACGTTAAAATTAACTAAGGGATTACCTATTATTCGGTTCAGCTATGACAAGGAAATAACTGAGCACTGGGAGCCATCGTTTTTTACTCCTACTGACTAGTAAAGGTCGCCATTCGTTACGGGTCCCACTGCCTCCTGCTACAATGAACCCTTCAATGTGGAGCGGGGAATCCGTGAGCCAGGGGCAGTGAGACAGTCTAGGGAGGTGGGGGGTGAGGGCAGTTACTTGACATGCGTGAGAAGCTGGAATATTAGAATCCAACCGCGGTGTGGGTCCCGCAACGAATGGTGCCCTATACTAGTCAGTAGGAGTACAAAATGATTACTCCCTGAGCACTGAAGGCACTATAGGCGAGAGAGCACAACGAGAGAGAGAGAGAGCGCTAGACACCAGCTTGCCGCGAAAAAACTGATGCCGTTTTAAAAAGACCTTAGCACCCATCCGACGCACTCTAGAACCGACGAAGTGACAATTGCGATCGTCGTGAGCCGCTCCGTCCTTCCCAGTGAAAGGATTCACTCTGATGCACACATTCTAGGTTGTGCCTTTAAAGGTCTAGTCCAGCTGAGTTTTTGTGGAAGTCACCAGAAAGGCATGTCCCAAGATTCATACTGGTGTGGATTTTGCACTCGAAAATGAAGCAATATAGAAATGGGCCGGCAGGAAAAAAAGAAAAGAAATCCTAGCTAAGGGTAAAGGGGCCTAATAAGCTATTTGATTCGGCTATGCTATGAGGGATTGAGCACACTGAAGAGCACAACGAACAACAGCGGACAAGCACCGCTGCGTACTGGCAAAATTGAAGCGGTTGAAGCGGTCACTGCAAAACGCTAGTGCACTTGTCGGGCAATTTCCATGCGTGAGACTGCCACATTCAGTTATGGTATGTGGTTCAATCCTGTCAGCTGGTACACGACGACGGACTGAAGATGCTTCAACAGCGGGACAAAACAGAGCGTTCACATTGGTGACGTCAGCACCGATGATTCTCTCCCAAGGCGCAAGTCAACAATGTAGACGAGGGTTTCGTTCAGAGTATAGGGCCCTTTCCTCGTCCCCAACCTATTCCTAATTTACCGTACCACCTGCCTTTAAGCTCCAACCAAAAGTGAACAGGCCGAACTCAAAAAGTACCGTTAAAAAGTGCAGCGCTTGTAGTTTAACGAACAGTGGAAGTTAAAACGAAACTATGGACAAGAAACGAAACAAAATTGAAACAGTAGAAAAAATATGAAAAAATAACCATAAATGACCACGAACCATTGCTTGCGCCTCATGCGTGCATTCTTCACCAGTTTTCCCCGATTCCTACGAGTGTTCGTGGCGTGTTGATTCGTATGGGGTCGTTTTACGGATAGAGGGGATCGCATCGCTTCACGTGATCACTGATATGCCTCAGCGGTATAATCAACTGAAAACAGCAAAAAATCAATAAACTGAACACCAACTAATGGAAAACATTCACTACAATGGAGAATGAAAGGCATTCATAGAAATCAAGACTAAGCTCACAATGTTCGTGGAATGGGTATTGAATGCTTTCCTGAGGGTTTTCAGAAAGACGTTGTAGAAGACAAACAAAATGCAAAAATGATAAAACTGTGCGTCGAAGAAGTAGCACAAGAGGTCGTCAAAAGCTTTTGTCACAGTAGTAATCAGAAGTACAAACAAAACAGCAGCGCTGTCATAGAGAAATGACTTCCAGACAATATACAATAGAAGCAGGTTGAATGACCACGGGCATGACTGGCTCCCTGCGCAGGTATGGAAATTTGCGCGCGCAGCGACGGAAAATCGATAATGCAAATGGTGAGGACTAGTTACGGTAACTGCTCAGAAAGTCCTACACGTTCTTTGCTGCGAACGCCTAGAACACAAAGGGATATTGGGCAACGGCTTATTCTTATTAAGCGTCGAATACCAATAGGGAAGGGGTAAAAACCATGGACGAAAGAAGGGATGTGACACCGGGGTGAGCAAGCCAATAAGTTGTGGCAAAAGTTCCTTTGTAAAATCACAGTATGCACGATACTTTTATTTAAAGTTTGCCTTTTAAAGCGAGAATATGTAGACGAAGGCAACAAGCAGACGCGGTTTGAAGGACAGCATCAACTAGTCCGCGAACCTGGGTTATTCGCCGCACCGTGTGTATCCGTCGCGCGCAGGATCGCTCATGGCCTTGGGAGGGGGGGGGGGGACATTCAAAACCGCTGATAGGTGAGTCCATGAGAGGGAATGCTTACATCATCTCATTGAATCCCCTTCCTTGAAGCTTTGTCCCGAGTGCTATGAGTGGCTCGCCCAGATGAATGTCCCCTCCCCAACGACATGAGCGCTCATCAAATTTCTGTTCTCTGATGGAATCGGAAGTTTGGGTACTTGAGTCAGCCTACAATACAGTTGGGTTGATGGAGCGTGCTGTACTTCTCACTTTCTCTCCTAGTGCCTACCTAGGTACACAAAACTCTTAAACAATATTTACAGATGCAGAAAAAGAGCAAAACACAGCCCAGAGACGCATCAGGAAGCTCCGCAATCGAATGTGTTAGAATGACACACGAGAAGTTAGTGGGACGGCCGAAAGGAGTGAATCAGATTCGCCCGAAGACTGACGAATTCGCTTTGAGAATCCGGATATCAAGTCACATGGGTTAGGCAGAGCTGTTCAACCCGTATGGAGAAGGGCTTGCGAAGAGAGAATACTACAGGACAGCAAACTCACATGTGCCTGCGAGTGGCTGGTTGGTCGACCGGCGGCGTTCAACCCATGGACAACGTGCAAAATATAATAGCAGCGCCATTTGCCACTATCCCTATTTCAATTTCTTCGTGTAGACCGAACATGCAACCGACCCAATTTGATAAACAAGTGCTATTCAGAAATTCGATTGGGCACTCTTTCAATGACGGAGAAGGGAGGGAAGGGGTGGAAGGGGTGGGCTAGGGAGTGTTGGTTTTCTCTGACGGGTACAGTGTGGTTTTTCTTACAATGCACCTGAAGCAAGCAGGAGGATAAGAATTTTTCCCTGGGCTTATCAGATGGTGAGGACCTAAAATGCATGGAATCACGAACCCATTATTTATAAGGATTTTCAACCACCTCGAACTGCTCTTCTAGGCTTAATATTATAGGAGGACCATCGCCATCACTACCCCATCGGCCTACCAGGGCCACACCCGCGCCATTGCCCGCCCATCATCTCGTCGTTCGGCTCTAGCCGTGTAGCGGATAAAGCGTTGGCGTTGGAGGAACACCGATGAATTCATTCGAAACTAATAATTATCCGCAACAAAATCGGATAAGAGGACGATCCACAGGAAACGTTTCAAAGCCGAATCAAGGGGGAGGGTCGTGGTCATCCTCTACACGACTGCACCCTGGCGGACTGCTTGAAGGCTGCGGGCGCTCTACTTCAGCGTCTTTTTTGAGCTAATAGGACCTTGAAAAAGGGGCAGGGAGATGAACTTGTTCGGCAATACGCGAGCTTTCTCGGAAAATGAACATTTCTTCGATTAACTCTAGCAACTTCGCCGTACCCGTGGGATCATCCCAACAACGGGCGGGAAAGGAGAGTCCTCGGCTCAGGGACAGCGTGGGTGGCAGTGTTCCTGCACGCGCAACAGCCTGATCGCCTCTCTCTGATGATTCAAAGCTTTGAGGGTTACATCAGTCATTACATAAGTCATCTAATATATGGCGTCGACGTCGTAAATCGATATCAGAAGCCCATCGAGGATAGTTCGAGTGGGCATGTCCACCTTAGCCCGATGTCATAGTTTGCGAATCGAGCGATTCGCTAACGAATCGTTCGATTCGCTAACTATGACAGCGTCCTTACTTCAGCGACTTGCTGGGTCTCCTCGACCGGGACCCTTTCTAAATATTATGTTGTAAACCGGCATCCCCTGCGCTGCGCAAGCTCAGGCAGCTTTCATAATTCGCACTGTTGGTGCGGTCGGTGCCGACGGCGCCGACCGCACCAACAGTGCAAAGAGCGTCAATACGCGCTCTGGCGCATGGCGCGTACGTTGGGGGCAGATGGCGCGCTCCGATCGATAATCGTGGTTTTGGTGTACTTCCTGTCTTTTTCGATATTTTTTTTGCGCAGTCTTTCTTTTATTAGTGTGTTTTCTGTTCATACTTATTCTTTTATATCTTGATGAATACTTTTCAAATGTTCCGCGGATGAGCGACGTCGTACAACCCCGTGTGAACGTGGCTTCAAGACCCAGCGAGTTCATCATGAGCAATTTTGTTTATTCGAGTCAACTGCATGTTTCCAGTAGTTGCTTTCTCTTCGATACAATTTCCTGCTAGCGTGCGAATAATTAAATTACCAGGATCTGGCAGCCTTTCGCACACCAGCAGGAAATCGTATCGAAGAAAAAGCAACTTCTAAAATTATAGAGTCCACTCGAATAAGCAAAATTGCTTATGATGAACTCACCCGGTATAGCCATTTTCACACGGGGTAGTACGACGGGGTTCTACGAAGTCGCTCGTCCGCGGAACAACTGAAAAGTATCCATCAAGACATAAAAGAATAAATATGTGCAGATAACACACGAATAAGAGCAACACGGCGCAAAAAAAAACATCGAGAAAGACAAGAAATACACTAAAACCGAGATTATCGATTTAAAGCGCGCGATCTGCGCCCAACGTGCGGTCATGCGCCAGAGCGCGTATTGACGCTCTTCGCACTGTTAATGCGGTCGGCGCCGTTGGCATCGACTGCACCGACCGCACCGGCGCGAAGTATGAAAGCAGCCTTAGCGCTCGTCACCGCGGAGGATGTGAGCACGCTGCAAGCCTTAGATATGATATATATGATATATGATAGCCAACTTCTGGCGAGACGTAAAATAGTCCCAAGCATTTACAAAAAGGGGGGAACTTTTGAAGGACTGTGGTTCAGCATCGTTGAGACTAACCAGACACGGAAAGCAACAGATGAAACGAGGAACTCCTTCATAGGTTAGGTATTGGGCTACTTTTCTCGTTTTTTTTTTCGAACTTCAATTGAGCACTTCGAGCATTTCTGCCGGCGACTGATTTTATCATACCAGCTGCTTTTGGGGATGTTAAATGTACGCTGAGTAATCACACTTTATGCTTATTCATTTTACTTTATTAATTTATCTATGATTCAAATCATCAGATAGTGCATTTAGGAGCTTTTACCCGTCTAAGTAGAAAATCCCAGTACTCAAGCAAAGTGGTTTTGATGAATCAGAAGTATCGATTGGCGGACAATACAAGGGGAAAGCCACTTCGATTTGAAGAGGAGTCTCTATGGCTTCGTCGTCTGTACAACATTCGCGAAGCCTTTCCTACTCGGAGAATAGAGCAATGAAAACGCCGGTTTGTATGCATTCTTCATAAAAGCAAAAAGCAAAGCGTCTGTCAAAAGAATGAAACTCTTGCCTGCGCAGAATCTACCGTAATACCTTTACCTCTACATGTGTTCATAAAAAGGAAAATATGATGGGAAAATTAGGTCGTTAAAAATTTGTTTGGTAAGAATTTCTACCATAATTCGGGTATCGGAGTTTTTGCGCTTAGTACTTATAGGAAGCATTCTTCAAATCAACGGAACTAGAAATAATTGGTAGCCATATACATAGTTAATCTAGAATTATTGCACCCTGGGGACGTTCTACCATACAATACCACTTTACGAATATTCCGTATAGTGTATATAAGATATTCACACTCCTTTTATGTACAGTACTACACTAAGTGGATGAACACCTGTAAGAAGATGAACCACTGTGTTGGTCAAATTTAGGATATCACGCCCCGTCCCTTCTTACAGAAATCCTTCTTGTTAGAAATGGACCTGCGGACAACTGTAAAAGAGACACCGCGCTGCCAGCATAGAGCGCGCACGCGAGGGGGGCAAATGCCACGTATGCCGTGACTGATGGGAATGGCAGCGGTCGCAGCGGTCAAGCGAAGGCATTAGCTCTCTTTTAGACCACTTTCACGTCGTGACAGTGTCATCACCTCTGTGGTTAGGAAAACACCATCCCGCTCAGGAAGAGGATTCCTCTAAAAATGTACACGCCACATACCTTCAATTAATGACTAGTAAGCGTTGTTCACTAACAATAAACATCAGCACCATTTGAACGGTCAGAATCAAATCCTGCTCGGGGCAATAATTATTTCACCCGTTCCGAGTTGGGGAAGCGGTACCTCATCCCCTGCATAAGTACCATCCACGCCAGTTATCCAGTCACTCCCACTCCAACTCTGAATGGTAAGCATAAAATTGAAAAACCAATCATCCGAGAGCATTCCATCTTCCCATATCTTCATTTTAAAAACTTTTTGTAAGTCACGGCAAGTCGTTTGAAATCTAAC